AGAAAGCTGCTCATGTGGTCCACTCCCCTCCCACCCTGTTCATCTTTAAATAAAAGTACTAAGGTTTTAAAGCTGCATGAGAAGGGGAGAGGCTGGGCAGAGCCAGCCAGCGGCCGCACTGCAAGTCCAACATCGCTATAGGGGGTCAGAAGAAACCAAGTAGGGCCCCTCCACCCTCATGGATCCGGGGCCACAGCTCCCACCAAACCCAATCTTCATACCAGTGAGGGGCAGGGCAGGGGGCGGGGCAAAGGCCTCGCCCTAAATGACGTTCAGGCGTTTATCAGTAGTAAGCTGGATTGCACATCCAAATTCTGGTACAAAATTCTCTGGAATGTGTCTTGGACAAACCTTTGAAACTGAGCCTCAGAATCAGAAGTGTCAGTCACAGGAGCTGGCTCTTCCCTGGGCGAGCCTGCATTCAGCAAGTGGCCCACATCCTCGATTCTACCTTTGGAAAACATGGTCACCAGATATGGAATCTTTGGGGAGCAAAATATGTGGGTGACCAACAAAGCATCTCTTACTGCTTTCGATGCAACCGCTACATCAGACCCTTTAAACCTTCCAGCACTGTTTTTGACTGCATGACTTTTTAAAAATGGGTTTAAAAAAAAAAAATCAGTGCTATCTGTCAGAAGTCAAAATAATCAGGTAGTCTTGTAAAACAGCCCAAACCAGGAGTCAAATGACAAGGGGATGCTATTGCTCAGATCCCACTTGCTTATTAGGTGGCACTCCTGCTAGCTGAGACCACTGATCACGTCCCTGGGGAGTGCTGTGTCCCTGTGCCGTCCACCTTAGCACCTGCTTCTGGCAAGAAAGGAGGCTTCGTCTTCTGACTCTGGGCCGGACAGCAGAGAGCTCGCCTGGACACACCAGCTCTGCCACACTTCACTTGGGACCACAGGAAGCCACCAGCCCTCTCTTCACATCCCAACAGGTGGGCTGGGGGGCCACCCGTGGCCTGGCTGTCCCTACCTCCGAGTCCCTCCCCACTGGTCTGAGCTGTGACCCAGGGTACAGTGAGATTGGGAGACCCCAGTGCCCTTGATGTTTGCACCTGGAGGCTGCACCGTGGCAAATCCTGCACCTGCCTGGTTGCATGGCCTCGGAATAAAGGGTGGGCGGTGTCCTGCACCTCCAGAGCAGGAAGTAGGGGTGTGGCGGGATGTAGGTAGGGCCCCTCCAGGACTACATTCCCATCAAGGGCATCGGTGCCTGTTCCTACATAGCACCCTGTAGAAGAGGACCCTGAGGCCCTTTTTGGAAATGGCTGTGTTCACCTGTTCCTTTCCGGATGGCTGTAGGATTCCATGGGCATGTGGGGAGCTGACAACTGGCTCCCTCACATGGCTGATGCAAAAAGGGGCTTTCTTATTTGGGACGTGATCTAAACACCAGCCCCCTGATGGTTGAGTCCTGGGTCACTTTTAGGACTTTTTGGAGGAAATCCTCCCTGTGTTCAGGCAACCTTCATTTTGAGATCTCTGCCCCCTTGGCCTGTGAGAACAAGTCTGCTACAAAATAAAGGTTTCAGTTTTCACTATTCTGTCTAGGAGTCCTATGGGCTCTTCAATCACACTGAAGCCAGTAAGCATGGCCATAAACCAGAAAAATGAAAGACCCTGAAAATAGACCCAGGCTGGGAAGACATTCTACATCTTAGAAGAAAATGCAGGCTGTATCAGGAGGGTCCGCCCCATTAACTACTTCCAGTGGGGAGCCCTGGGGAGTGGCTTTCCAAGGCCCACCACCCCCTTCCACAAGCACTCATTTCATGATGATGAGATGCCAGTGAGAGCCCATTTAAACCTTGCCTGAGGTTCGTGGATCTTTCCCCCACCCTTCAAGTGAGATGAATTCTAGCCCCAGATGAGTCAGGATGGTCCAACCAGAGCCCCAGGCCAAGTGCCCAGGGATGCCAGGCGGGAATTCCCTCCAGGTGCCCTAAGTCAGCCGAGCGGTGCCCCATCTCCCCGGCCAGGCCCATAACGGAAGGACCGCACCCTGCCATTAGACCAGAACCACTTTGGGAATGAAGACACACTCGTTTGCCAAAAATAGCCAATGCCTGCATATTTCTGTTTTAAGGCAATGTTACCCTTCCATCTATCTGATGGAACAGCCCTGGGTCATTTAGAGGAAAAATTAAATTAAGTGCTCTCTTTGGAAACAGCAAACACCCGCTTTCCCTCCCCCACCCCCCACCCGCCTCTAAAACAAACCAGCTCTTCTTTTATTCCAAGATGACTGGTTTAGAGTCCTTACTCCCCTTCCTATGTGCAGACAGATGTGGGGTTAGAAACCCTCCTTCTGAGATGCCAGTGGGCAGATCACAAGGAGACTCCTGGCTCCTCAACGGGACAGCACTGCGTGGCCTCCCAGAGACACACAGCTCCCTCTCCCTGCCTTTCGGGGACCCGTGGACGGTGAGCACACCAAAGGACTTTGGAATAAAATTCCTGAACCTGGAATGTGAGTTCCTGAGACATGAAATGTATTCAGTGTGGCTTTCGATGCCTCACACAAAAACAACTTTGGGAGGAGCCTCCAAGGGCCTTCTGGACCTCACTTTGGAACTGGGCGTGAAGACCTCTCACCCTCAGCACTCAGGGCTCTTCTGTCCAGTCTCTATAGGGTCTTCCGCTCCCCCAGACCAAATGCAAGCAGAGCTGTCATGCGGCCCAAAGGGGGCACCGCGGCCAGGGCCAGCAGCTCTGCACCTGACCCCCCCAGCCCCGCTTGGCTTCCACCCATGGCAAGAACGCTGCTGCCCAGCTTGGTACCTAACACACCACTCAGAGGCCACCACCATGCCACCGGCCGAGCCCAGATGACTCACAACAGAATTCGAAAGGGGCACCCAAGTGTTGCAGAAAGCAGACTGTTCATCTTGTGCTCACCATGGGCAGAAGGTACCAGCCTAAAGCCGTGGCCAAGGGCTGTGAGCACCAGCCACGCCTGGGTCTCTGGGGCTTCTCTGTGCTGCAGCCCACGCCGTGACAAGGTGGGGACAGAAGCAGGACGGCCACAACCAAGGCACTGTGGGCCCAGGAAGCCCATCTCTAGCCCTCTGAGGTCCCGAGGGTCATTCCTCTTCACCAAAATGAGCAGAGGTCTCTGCAAGATACCCCAGATCCACCCCAAACCCATACCCCCCACCCCAACACACACACATACGCACACACTGTCCTGGGGCTTGTATTTACACGCCCCGACTCTCAGGAGGAAGGGAAGGGAGGTGCCCGGGCAGCAGCACTGAGGTGTAACCTCCCAATGTCGGCTGAGCAGCAGCGCGCTGGAGCCCAGCCCGACCCCCGTGCCAGTGCCCAAAGCCCGGCCCAGCCCAGGCGGGGGATCCCGGAGATACCGCTTGGCTCTCCGGTCTTCCTCTTCCGGCAGGAGAACGCCGGCGACAGAGCCCCCAAGCCCTGATGCCCCCACAGGCAGGTGTGGGCTGGGTCCTCCTGGGCAGGAGGGGACAAATGGGAGGGAAAGGGAGAAAGAAGTCCAGGGGGTGCAAAGCTCATGGAGAAGCTGGAGGTTTGCTAATTCCGAGCTGGGAACACGGTGGGTCTGAGCAAAGTATTTCCCACAACTTTCTGTCTGGTGTTCCCCAGGGAGGAAACAGAATGCATATTCTCCGACAGCATTTCCCTTAACATCTGCTTTACCACTCCCGAAAAGTTCCAAGTCACAATGTTCCGGTCTCTTGCTACAGAACCGTCTCTCTGAAGCACCGAGCGCTGCCACATGCACGGCCACACACACTGGGCCTCTGGCCAGGTGGCCCAATGACCTTCCCCACGGTTGCAAACAAAGGTGTCTTCAGAGCAGGGCCGTCCAGGAGAACGTGGGAACTAGAGGCATGGAAGACACCTTCAGACGTCTCTGAAGACCAGGATTCCCAGGCTTTGTTTTCCAGTCAGAGAACGTGACTGAGTGAGAGGTCTCCATGTGCCTTCTGCAGGACACAGACGACCAGGTGTCCCTCCACGGGGCACATACCTCAGGCAGGCCAAGGGCTGGGCAAACGTGGCCCCGGGCCCCATCACATCGGACTTCAGATGGTGCACTGGACTGACTAGCCGAGGCTTGCATCTCTACTCTCAGTGCTCTGAGAGGCCCCGAAATAGGCTCCTGGAGGCAGGGGGAGAGAGATGGGCAGGGCCCCCCCACACAAGGCAGGCATTTCTGTGGTCTCCCCAGGTGGAGTGCTTCTTTTGCCCGGTACAGCTTAAGGCATCCCTCTGAATCATCTATGTCCTGAGCCCGGCCGGGCTGCTGGGGCAGAAGCTGGCAGCTGGGAGGCCCCCTGCTTGGGAATCTGGCCTGGAAGCAAATGTCAGTGACCGTGTCCGCTCAGAAGTGACTGATCAACTGACCCACAGGCTGGATGCTGAGCCCCACCTGCACTGCTCCATCTCCTTTGTCCCCAGTGTGTTCCCGAACCTAACAGAAAACTCCAGAGTGCAAATCTATGTACAGAGTAAGGCGGCAGGAAGGGGGTGTCCTCACTGACCTCGTGGAACATGTCCATCCCTGAGAAAGGGGGGGGAGGGGTTCAACACCACTGAATCTCACCTTTGTGGGTATGTCTATTGTGCAATTTGTGGATGGTGTTTTTTGAAAATTTTTTGTTTTTTTACAAATTTACTTTTGACACCTGAGGTGAAGAAATTGTGTTGTTGATACTGACTTCATAAAGTTCTCTCTTCTTTCTTATTACAAAAGGAAAAGACACGGCATCACGAGAGGAAGGGCGAGCATCTGCTCATGGCTGTAATGGGGGCGGAGTGTCCTCGGCCAGCCCTGGGACGGGGCGCCCACGGAGGGGTTGGCCGCCCCGTAGGAGGGGCGGGGCACCCGCGGAGGGGTGGGGTAGGGCCCCGGGGAGGGGCAGGGCGGGGCACGGGGGGGGGGTGCGGTGGGTGGGACGGCCGGGTAGCCGCCCGAGGGGTGGGCGGAGCCCCGGGGAGGTGTGGGCGGGGCGCCGCGGAGGGGCGGCCGGGGCTGTGCTGCTGGGGGCGGGGCAGCGGCCTGGCTCAGGGCGAGCTGGCCGGGCTGATGGTGGGGCTGCTGGCGTCCGAACGGCTGTAGTCGCTGAGGGAGCCGGTCCGCGAGCCCCCGCTGCGCCGCTGCAGCATGCCCGGGTGGAAGTTGGCGTGGCGGCGCGCGTGCTTCGTCAGGTGGTCGCTGCGCATGAAGCGCTTCTCGCAGATGGGGCAGCTGAACTTCTTCTCGCCGGTGTGTGTGCGGTAGTGCCGGGCCAGCTCATCGGAGCGCGCAAACTTCTTGTTGCAGTCCTGCCAGCTGCAGGCAAAGGGCCTCTCACCTGTGGGCGACAGGGCAGAGCGTCAGTCCCAGCTCCTGACCCTGCCTGCCCTCCACGACAGCCCCTTCCTTCCTCCCCACCCCTAGCTGTCTTCCCGCCCTCTGCGACAAACCCATCAGGGCAAAGGTGTGCCTTGCCAGTGCCCTCCAGCTGGTACCCAAGGAAGGCAGCAGACCTCTCCCAGGATGAAAATGGCAGCATCTCAGGTAATGTGGCTGCAGGGCCCAAGGCCCCTGGGGAGCTCAGGCCCATCTTCAGAATCAAAGACTGGTTGGTAACCAGGAGTAAAGGGTCTAGGGGCAGGAAGGGCTTTCAGGCCTGCACAAGTCCAGCTGCCCCCACACTGGCCCTGGGGGAGCCACACTTCAGAGCCCCACACCTCTCAGGGCCAAGAGACAATTCCCAGATCCGAGTGCCCTACCACCATCCTGACCTCTGCTCAGTTTCCTCATCTATAACATGAGGAGCCCAGACCAGGTAATTTTCTTCTCTTGTTGCGCCTTCTCTTATAGAAGTTCCAATGGGGCCAACAGGTAACAGACAGCAGAGCAGGAGAGTACAACAAGGCTTTTGCAGACCCAAGCCCAGAGACAGATAAGGGTGGCTACTCAGAACACTCCGTGAGAGGGAGATAACAAATATGTAGGCTGCGATCAGAACCACTCCCTTCCCTCCCATCCCTTGCTCAGAGCAAGGAACAGGTGAGCATTTACCCAGGCAAACTCTGAACCACAAGAAAAATGACATCAACTGCTCAAAGAGAGCCAGCAGAAGCTCCTGGCACCCCAGAATACAGCCCTTATGGCACCTGGGTGGCCACACAGCCACCTTTCCAACCCTTTACTTTCCCCTCCCTCCCCTACTCTGGCTCTAAAGCCAACAGCCAGTCCTTGAAGCTGGCCCACCTGTGCCTGGAGGAGGAAATCCACACCACCCACCCCAAATGAGGCCATCAACCTTAAATATAAACAAACACCCAGGGATAGCCAGATGGCCAAGGAAAATCAGCAGCATGAAAGGGAAAAATCCAAGAGCAACAAAACAAAGCTTACTCCAGGGGAAAACGAGTGAAACCAGGAGACAGAAGAGAATGTCAACCTAAAAATTCTAATTAGTATTCTAAGAGCAATTTCAGACAAAATTCATGCATAAAGCAAACATGATACCATCAAAAGGAAGTTCAGAGAACAAAAAATAGTGTTTAGAAACTGAGAGCATTGTTGCCCAAACAAAAATTCCACAGAAAAGCTGGAAATAAACTCAAGGAAATATCACAGAAAAACAGAACAACATCAAAAACCTCTAGAAACATGTGAATGTTGCTGTGTTCTCTGTCTCCTAATAATGCTAAAACTAAGAGGAGCTATGTGTGGCTGTATATGTTCTTACTGATTTTATGCGGGTTTTTTGGAGTGGGAAAGGGTGTGTGTTGGGGGTAAGGGATTCAAAGTGAAGTAGGAGAGTAAACCATCATTTCCTAAACCTATCTAACAGTTTACAAATGATAGTTCAGAGTTACAGGGACTCAATCCTGGGGGGTGCAATATTTAACTAATTTCTGTTAAAGAAAAAAAAAAACAGGGAAAAAAGGGAGGAGAGCAAAGTCAAAGTACCAAAGAAACAAGAACACGGTATCTGTCAGGATCAAATAAGACTAGCTACCACAAATGTGGGCAGGCTAGTGAGTAAAGGCTCCCGCTATGAGAAATTCTGCAATGTCAGAACACTGAATAAAAAGAGACCACAAAATTTATGAGAAAGAGGTGAGAAACAAATGCCAAGTTATCTGTAAGGGAATAAGGCTGGGACACACACTAGACTTCTCATAAATCACACTGGATTCTAGATGACAAAGAGATCGGGTCTTCAAGTTTACCTCTCAAACGCCAGCAAAAATAAGAAAAAAAAAAAAAAACAACCTGAGAAGCCAGAGAAATGAGCGAGAAATGAAGGGGTGTTCAGGAGAGTGAGGTAGAGACCTGGGGACCATTGAGGCAGGATTCATAGGGGGATAGTTCCAAGAAGAAAGTGAGTTCCGTGCATCAGATAATATGATCAAGAGGCTGAATATACTTCAGGTCACAGTGAGGGTACGTATTATTCTTTATTTAAAACAAAAAAGAGAGGCAATTAGAAACTCCAGGAAAAACAGAAGACAGGCAAGAAAACTGGGGTCTAAACTGGAAGCAAACTAAAATGCTACAAGACTCTGAGCAATCAGGGAAGAGCTCTGAGCCAAACACTGGTCTAGGGGCTTTTTGTATGTTGTACTATTTGTCTTTCACAACAACCCCATGAGGCAGCAGGAGGGAATGAAATCCCTGTACAGGCCCTGGCATATGGAAGTAATCTTTTCACAGTCATGGTCATGTGAACCCTAGCACCAGTTAGTTGTCAGTGTGTAGAATCAATGTTATAGACAAAGTCCACGCAACTGACTCATGGCCCCAGTAGAAAATGTGGATTTATAAGAAAGGTAGGGGGCGCCTGGGTGGCTCAGTTGGTTGAGCAACTGCCTTCGGCTCAGGTCATGATCCCGGACTTCCAGGATTGAGTCCCGCATAGGGCTCCCAGCTCCTTGGGGAGTCTGCTTCTCCCTCTGACCTTCTCCTCTCTCATGCTCTCTCTCACTCATTCTCCCTCAAATAAATAAATAAAATCTTAAAAAAAAAAAAAAGTCTTATAAGAAAGGTAGGAACACACGCATGAA